GTCCCCAAACACAGGGGCCCCGCCCAGGCCACCTGAGCTCCAGCAGTACCCCCACCCGCTGACACCAGAGCAGGACAAGAGCAGAGGCTGTGAGCAGTGACCCCGAAGTCATTACAGTTCAGTGTCAAGTTAGTGACTTCAGGGCCTGCTCCTCCCTGTACCCCAGGATCTGCACCCAAATCCCGTGCGTGTTAACCCCTCTCTAACCCCCCCAGCCATGACTCCTCATGTCTCAACCCTAAATAACCGGGAGCTGGTTATTTCTGCATTTCCAGGGAACGTGGGACCAACAGGGTAAGAGAAGTTCCTACTGCACTGCCATACCCAGAGCTCACCCAGCAAAGGCCCAGGTCCCCCCACTGCCTTGGGGCCTCTGCTGCCAGCAGGCTCCTTACCTTTCTGAGCCCTGAAGTAGATGAGCAGCCCCGCTCCAAGGAAGAGCAGCCCCAGCACGAAGCCGCCGACTCCACTCAGCACCTTTCTCTGTGCGGATCCGGACTGGGCCCCTGATAGAAGAAGCCCGTTTTCAGTGTGTTTTAGCCCAAACCAACTTCTCTAATGAAGACCCTGGGATTGAGAAATTGCAGTGCGGTGGGGTAGGGCCTGGGGAGGTGGGGGGCAGGGCATGGTATAGAAGAATCAGAACAATAGCCATTTCCAGGAAAGAGACTGAGGTCACACTGAGTGGGTACAAGGCCCAGGCACTGGACTCAGGACCCCTCACACCCAACCCAAGGCCACTGCTTCGGCCTCTGAGGCTGCGGAGCCCGGGGCTACCCTGTAGCCTGTGCTGAAGGAGAGACATGAGCAAAGGAAAACCGGGTGTGGGTAGAGGGGACCCTGACCCTCAGGTATAAGCAAAGGCCCCTGTGGAGGGAGGCGTGTGAGGTCAGAGGGTGTCTCACTCCATTTCACGGTGACAGGGCTAGTCCTGCTGGGATGCCGTACTTGGCAGGTGTAGACCTCCCCGCTCCGGGGAACTGTCTCCAGCATCACCAGGGTCTGGAAGGTCCAGTCCCCGTTCCGGATCAGGCCCGTGGACACCACCCCGGCCTCCTCTTCCTCCCCGCTGGAGCGGACCTCAATGTTGCCCGGATAGAAGCCGTTCACGAAGCAGACCAGGAGGTTGTGGTGCTGCAGGCGCTGGGTCTTTGCAGGATACACGGTCACTGTGGGCTCAGCTGGGACAGAGAAGGCGGAGGGAGATGTGAGCAGGACAGGCAGGCCCCTGGGTTTCTCCCTTTCGGCCTTGTCTCCAGTCCCAGGCTCCAGGGCCCAGCAGACCTCCTCAAACCCTCCTTGTGGCCCCGCAGAAGGTAGTGCCATGGGCCCTGAATCTCTGCCTAGAGCCCAAGGCACTGGATTTGAGAGATGCTGAGGAAACTCGGGGGATTTTTCATACCTTGAAACAGTTACTCATTGTTGAATGAAGAGTTTACAAATCTTTGCGAGGCACAGAGTGTGTGAGTTCCAGTGTGATTTCTGGGGCAGGGCTGCCTGGTCACATCCAGGCTGTGCCTCTTACTGGCTGATGCTGGGAGACCCTCTCTGCTCAGCTCCTCACCTGCAAAGGGGGTGATAATACTAACTCACCGCTTAAGGACATATGAGGACAAATGGGCCTAAAACATGTACAACAGCGGCTGGAACGTAGCCGTCACTGTATGTCAGCTGTTTATCACATATGGAGAGAGAATATAAGGAGAGCAGAGGGAGGAACCCCCCTGAAAGCAGGAAAGACAGGTGACTCCCTAGCTGCGGGGGCTGAGTCCTGAGGGAGAGGGAGAGGAGCAGGAGCACTCATTATAACACTGACAGTGACACTCACTGAGCAACCCGCTCCTTCTCAAAAGAAGCCGGCCTGTTGTTGGGATTCCTGTCAATTTATAATTGTCTCTCTTTTCAATCTGTAATTTGAGTTCAGGGCAGGTTCTGTGACTCATTCATATGTGTGCTTCCTGCCTGAGACCAGGTTCAATAAATGTAGATTTGGAGGAGCCTCAATGACTGCCACATGGCAATTGAGGGGGCCCTGGAGGAGGAGGAACAGGAGGAGAAGGAGGAGGAGGAGAAGGAGAAGAGCCAGGTTGGTCTTGGAACGTCCAGTGTTAGAGGAAGCTAAGGGAAGCCACCCCTTTTCCACCCCTTTGTGTGTGTGTTTTGGGGGGATGGGTTAAGAGAGGGAGAGGGAGAGAGAAGACATTGATATGAGGGAGAAACATTGAT